ATCTCTCCCTATCTCTCTCTCTCTCTCTCTCTCTCTCTCTCTCTCTCTCTCTCTCTCTCTCTCTCTGTTCATTACTTCATTCTCAAGTAGTGTCTTTGCTTTTGCTAATTTATTGAATGGAATGTCTGTTGACATACATGTAAAAGATCAGATTTATAAGTAAGCTTGTCAAATATTATTGTGTATCGCCTATTCTTTTTCCAGGTGGAAGTTCATAGGGAACACGTACCCTTTTTTCATGCCAACTCCTTTTTTGTTTTGCTTGTAGAGATACTAAGAGGTTGCCCCACCTATCCAACCCAACACAACATATTTGTATGCACATAAACATAAACATATTCTTTCATACTCACACACGTACAGTTTGCCGCAACCTCTGTTGCCCAATACAACACAATCATAAGCTTTATTTATGAGCTATTTGTCCTTTGTGTTCCTTTCATTTTACCAGGAAAGATTCTTTCTTCATTTCCTATTACAGATCCTGTCTGTACCAGAGCCCGATTTCCTCCCTCCTCCCCCACCCCCAGCTGTGTCAGAACCCTCTGCCCCGCCCTTATCATTGCCTAGCAACGGTTTCTCCGCTCCACCACCACAACAGCAGCAACAGCAGCAGCAACAGTACAATGCACAGCAGAGTTTCGATGATTGGGACGAGGACTGGGATGATGATGATGATGAGTCAAGCAATAGTACCATTGGACATAGTCAGGTAGGTGTCAAAAGTGTTACAAGTCGTTTTAGCTGCTGTTTTGTTGTTGTTTTTTTAAATTTCAAATCTTTTTTACCCGGCATGTACTGTTTTTGGAGAGAAGCTGTCAAATCCAAATGTTTGTAATTGTTTTACACCGTAATGGACTCCAAGCCTGTCATGGCCAACTTGAGTTTTGAAAGATAAAGCTTTCAAATGACAGGAAAAAAGAGAAAAATGTACTAAGAGGAAAATGGGGAGAGAATGGTGAGCGGAGGGAAGAGGAAAAAGAAAGTGGTATTGAGAAGAAAAAGGTGAGGGAGAGGGATAGGAATGGTTACTGAGGAGAAAAAAGAGGTGTTAGAGGGGAGAGAAGAGAGGAGGACAGAAAAAGGGATACTGAGAGGAAAAAACAGGAAAAGTATGCGCTGGCAAAAGGAGGAGTAGTGAAGTCGTGTAGCCCTGTTACCAGCAGGTAGACAGGACTTTTTGTGATCATGGGTGGTTGGCGGGTGCTCTGGTGTGGTTTGTTTGTTCTTTCAAGCATCTATGATCCTTATATTATTTCTCTTTTCTTTTTTTTTTTACTCTCTTGTAACACCTCTAATCTTTGGCACTTTATGACCTAATTGTGTTGTAAGTACTACAAAACTCTCACAAAAAATTAAAGCTAAACTTTCCGTGATCACTTATGTTTATATTTTTCATCTTTCTTCTTTGCCGACAGGATTTAGGAGGTCAGGGCAACTTTGGCCTATCAGCGCCGACGAAACGAGAAAAGCAGCTCTCCCCTGGCACGGAGATGTCCAAGTATGGTACTGTCAAGAGTAGTTTTAGCAGGTAAGAAATGGTCTTGAATTCAAAATTGGGCCTCAAGAAATATACAAAGATAGTTTCTGAGAAACATGCAAAGTTGACTTCTTAAAAATGTAGGAAGTTGGTTGCTGAGAAATGTAAAAATTTATTTGCTAGAAATATACAAAGATGATTCTTGAGAAACATGCAAAGTTGACTTTTTTAAAATGTAGGAAGTTGGTTGCTGAGAAATGTAAAAAGCTACTTGTTAGATATACACACAATTGTTTTCTAGAAATGTTAAAAGTTGGTCTCCGAAAATGTATTAGGTAACAGTGGGATTACTGCATTGAAACTGTTGAATTCTCTGTTTTTAGAAATACCTGTCAGTACTTAATAACTGATTGTAATTTAGAAATTAGTCCCCATAAAGTTATTGATCATTCTCTCCTCCCCCCCCTCCCCCCCTCCCCA